GTATAAAATATTGTATGAAATGCTATTAAGGCCGGAAAACAGGTGTTTTGGTATAAACAATTAGAAATTCTCAAAAAACTACTTTCTACTCGAATTTTGTTGTTGTTATTTAGAAGTATGAATCATATAGATTGAAGAACTTCAAGTGGTTGCATGAAATTATCGTCGCACTTTCAAAAAGTGCCAAAACCTGCATTTTGCATCGTTTTTCGGCCATAACATTTTTGCTATTAGTCGGATCCTTTTACGTGTGGTCTCACTCTCGTAAATACCTAAAAATCTTATATGAAAAGTTTTTCCGTTCCTGTCAATACATTCGATTGAATTTGCTAATACGATTAGACTAATTAATATTGTAGATGTTATATGGAGATAGGTGCGAGTTCGACCATGAGAGAAGAAAAAGCATCAGAAAGTAAAAAAGCTTATTCGGGAGTGCCAGTTTTGTGTGGTCAAGAATGGAATAAATTTCCCTCAAAGAATCTCCAAGAACATTTTGTCCCCCAAAAATTTCCCAGAAAAAGAAAAAATCCCCCAATATGGCAACCCTGACGATGATGCGCGTTTGTATCTCGTCGTGCTGTGTTGCCATGTCCTTGGGAAGTTAGATCGCAGTGTTGTCAAATCTGTCGAGACTGCGGACTAACTGTATGGGATAATCGGACTTTCATGATCCAATAATTCCTATGTTCGTATCCAACTTTTTTTAAGGTGGACTAACCTGTGCTGAATATAGTCCTTCATGGATTGATGACAGCGTTGCAGAGTCAACCTACTCGACGCTATTTTTTTCTTCATCATTTCTAGTAACAGATTGATAGCTATGTTTAGATACAAAAATTACGTATACAATATCGAATTCATTTATAGTTCTTTCATCAATTTGTTTCTATTAGAGTTGTCTCAAAAATATGGTTCCCACGACGAATATTTTATTTAAAAAAACGAATTTACCATTGGAAACGTTGACCTTTAAGCTATTTTCCCGAAATAATTGTAAAGTCTGGTTTTATTTGTGCAAGTTGTTCAAGGGGATATTCAAAACATGGACGCATAAAATCGGTACACCAATTTTTGTGGGAAAACTTTTTATTCCACAACAAAGAATTTGAAAACGTGTTTTTTAGGATTCCATCGAAAGCGTTGATAGGAACGGAAAAACTTTTCATATAAGATTTTTAGGCATTTAAGAGACCTACAAAATGTGACCACACGTCAAAAGATCCGACTAATATAATAGCATAAATGTTATGGCCGAAAAACGGTGCAAAATGCAGGTTTTGAGACTTTTGGTAATGCAACGATAATTTCACGCAACTACTTGAAATCTTTCAAATCCGTACTTCTAAACAACAACGACAAAATTGGAGTATATTGATCAAGTAGTTTTTTAAGCATTTCTAATTGTTTATCCCAAAGTGCATTTAATAGTAAAATACACGTGTTTACCTTGCCGATATGAATCACAAAAGATTCCGAAAAACAAATGTTATTTTTATGCGAAAAACAAAGGTTACGTTTTTTTTTTCTTCTAAGCAAATTCAAACATTTCGTATTTGTGAGTAATTGAACAAATGCGCTACGGTATTCGAAAAACACACTTTACTATACACATTTTAAAACAAAGCCGATGTGTCTATCATCTTTTGTTGCGAATTACTCACAAATACGAGTACGAAATGTTTGAATTTGTTTAGAAGATAAAACCCGTCCTTTTTTGCATAAAAATAACATTTATCTTCCGGAATGGCTTGCGATTCGTATCGGCAAGGTAAACTAGTGTATTTTGCTATGAAATGTGATTGCCGAAAAACAGGTGTTTTGGGATAAACAATTAGAAATTCTCAAAAACTACTTGACCGGTGGGGGAGCCGACAAACATGACGGTGTTGCCAAGCATCTCGCGCGGTAACGTTACCGTGTTAGGAACCTTATTTTTGAACCAACCCTCGTATTACGTGACCCTGAGTCGAATAGTTCAATGTCATGGCGCAATGTATGCCGCTTATTGAATAAGGGAAAATCACGCACGCGATGGATCATGTTCAGAGTCATTGTCCGGATACCTTAATCGCAATACGTAAAAGTAAAGATATGCAAAGGCAATATTTTCTAAAAGTATATCCACACTCACGCGAAAAAGCTAGAAAAACGTGAGAAATGTGAATGTGGAACTGCTTTTCATAATATTCGCAGGTTCTCGATTTTTGTCGTTTTTTTTGGCGCTGAGAGCGCGAGAACAGGCGAGAACTTGTATTGACTCTACACTCGCATGTTTCTCAGTGGCAGGTGACTCGCCGATTAGAACAGTTGGGCGTGGTATTTAGTATTGAACATCAATATGAGCCGGATTTGGACGAACGAACTAGAATTATCATTCCTAGAATATTTTCAAGCCGAACCGATTTTGTGGTATAGAAATTTAGAAGAATATAGAAATGAACTAAAGCCCACGATGCATGGAAACGCATTAGTACTTTGATGGAATTACCCATTGGAGAATTAAAAAGCAAAAGAAATTCGTTAATAACCAAGTACATAGGGTAAAATAAAGTCAAGAAATCGGAAAGGTCTGGTGCCGGTGTCGACGACATTTTACGAGGGATGTCTTTTCGATAATTTTCCGTTGGTATCGAGAATTCAAACGTGGACGGGTGAGTCTTAGCGACGATTCCAGGGTGGGTGCATCAAAAACGGCAGTCAACCAGGAAAACGTCGATGCTGTGCGCAAACGCATCATTGAAGATAGACATGTGACATATCGCGAGATTGAGGCGTTCTTGAAGAGAACAAAGACCGCAATTCAAAAAATTTTCGATGAAGAATTAGGAGTAAGAAAATTAGTTTCTCGTTGGACACCCCACCTGTTGACTGAAGAGCAGAAAGCGGCCAGGGTTAATTGGTGTCAAAAAACGCTTGACCAGAAACTCAAAAAATGTGTATGGTATATCTGAAGTCACTTGAAATAGCATAAAAACCTTTGGTCGGCGCGTCCTGTAATTTCATGACGTATCATAGGCGTGCGGTGATTTATTTAGCACGATAATAATAATGTTTTTATATCACAATAAATGGATTTTACTATCTTCTTATTTTTTTGATTTGGGATAAAAAATACTTATATTGGGAGTTTAATTTATGTTGACTGAAAGTTAAGAAATGGAAAAATTACAGAATTCCAACGTTTGACATAGGCAAATATTTACATAGCAGGTAGGTATATAAAAAGGTATATAAAGACTTATATTATAGGTATTTATATATCATCCTCGCCTTCGGAGCTGTCGCTAGAGTCATCTTGTAGAGGAATTACAACGGGATTTACAGGAGGCAAAACACAATATTCATTTTCTTTTTCAATAATATGCCTAGAACACTGCTTCCATAGGTCTGTGGCAGCAATATGAGATACTGCATCTCTAATTGTGGCCATTAGCGATTCACTTAATTAAGGGGTCTGATTATGTTTTCTTACTTTTTTTTTAAAGCAGCCCAGACCAACTCAATCGGGTTAAAAATGCAGTAATAGGGAAGGTAGACGTAATACTTCATGGCCATTTTTCTGAAGCAGATTGTCAACAACATACTCTTTTTCAAATTTTTATCTTTTAATAAGATCCAATAATATGGCTTTGGTTGATTTTTGTGGTATTTCCATTCCCTTATCCTTCATAAAATCAATAATGTCTTGTTTTTTGTGCCTGTATTCGGAATTTTGTTTTTCTGTCGGGAATGGTATGGCGCATTGTCCATAATAATCACTTAATTTGGGGAAATGTTTGGTATTAACTGCTGCTGTATCCACTTTTAAAATAAGTCGGAGGTCATGTCCTCATGATAGTCGGCACATGATTCTTTGATATTTTTGGCAGATAACAGCAAGGCATTAGGTATAAATCCATTTTCACTGCCAGCATGGAGAATAATGATTCGTTTTCCACGGTTGCATGGTGCATTTAAAATGCACTTGTTGCTGTCGTCAACCCAGCCGTACTGCACAACATCATGGGTATCATACCACGTTTCATCCAGGTAAATCAGATTTCTTTTCTGCTCTCTATAGATTTTAACTTTGTGCAAAAATTCTTGGCGCAATTCAACGATTCGAGACGACTCCATAATCACCATTCTTTTATCTAATTTTTTGTATTGAAAACCATACAGTTTTACAATACAGTGCAGTGAGTCTAAGCATTTGTAATTATAAAAATCTTCAGGATAATCTTTTAATTTATCCCGTATCATTTCCAACGTGGGCACCAAATTTTCTTTATAAAATCCGTATATTATACGACGATTATCTTCCTGAAAACCCACGTCTATTCTTTTTAATTTTTGCCCTATGCGCTTTCTGTGGAAGGAATGGTTGACCACATCTCCCCTTTTTATAACCCGATAAATGGTAGACCGACTGATTTTTGTCAGGATACAAATTCTGTTTAAAATTTGATTTTGCGAGGAATCTGGATTTTCGTTTTTCAGACAATCATACATATTTAGGATTACTCTTTGGGTCTGTTCCTCTAAATTTTTATGAAAGAATTCTGCCTGCACAGGTTCATCAACCATCTCCTCGTGGCTTGGAGCATTTTCCCAAGGTCTCCAAAGAGCCATATTTAGGACACACAAGAACAATCAACACAACAATTAAATCAACAAGTAAACTGAGTATTCAAAAGTCAAAAACACACAAACTAATAAAATCTATGAAAAAACACGGACAGACTAAAGAAAACACGTTTATTCACCGCTACACGGCACTGGCTAAACTGTTTCAATTTTCAGTAGCCACCTGCACTTTTTCGGAGCTCTGAAATACACGCTTTCTCATTGGCTATGTCCACGCATAGGCGTGCTTTACTCCACGTGGACCGGTGAAACTGCCTTTGATCTTATACGGGGGATATTTGCTGCGAAATTTGGCGATTTTTGCAGCAACAGAGCGTGTTAAATATAGATATATAAAACGCACCCGGTATTTCACAGTGTTTCAAGTGACTTCAGATAAACTATACAGCATTGTTAGTGGTGATGAATCGTGGATTTACTGTTACGAACCAGAAAATAAACGACAGTCGGCTGTTTGGGTGTTCCAAGGTGAAGAAAAGCCAACAAAAGTCATCCGTTCTCGAAGTGTTTCGAAAAAGGTGGTAACAATTCCTCTTAATGAGCAAAGAACTGTTACTGCGGATTGGTATACCACCATTTGTTTGCCAAAAGTCATCACCGAGTTTCGAAAAATCAACCCCGAAAGAAGAATCATCCTCCACCAAAGCAATGCAAGCTCGCACACAGCCCAAAAAACAAGGCAGTATTTAACGGAAGAAAACGTGGAATTATTGGACCATATCCTCCATAAAGTCCCGATCTAAGTCCTAACGATTTCTTTACTTTCCCGAAAATTAAAAACACACTGCGTGGTCAAAGGTTCCAGTCACCAGAAGAAGCAGTTGACGCATTCAGAAATGCCGTTTTGGATCTGCCTACAAACGAGTGGAATAAGTGCTTCGAAAAACAATAAAGTCATTTAAAACTACCTGCCGTGTTGTTTTATTTCCATATGCAAAACTTACAAGACATCCCTCGTATTCTGCGTCCATCGTCGTCGAGCACGAGAACTGAGATCATTGCAAGTGTGGACCCAAATAAGTTCTCGCCGAGATTTTCGCGTGAGTGTGGATCGGCCTTAACAAATTCGATCCCGTACGGTTTCTAAGACGGCGACATGACGTATCGATCTAGGTGAAAAACTCAATTCAGTGCCTTGTAAGTACATTTGCGATGCCGCTTCGTCGCAACGGGGCGTCGCTGATAAGACATGGAAATGTGCGGTGCGGTCGCGGGTCGACGACCTTCCTTCATCGTGAAATGCGACTACATAATACATTCCTACATACTATTTCGCTATCTGCCGCCGCGCGTTCCGTAAAACGCGAAATGGGTATTCGATTGTCACCTTGCGTCTAACGGTAGATCGTATGCAAATGTAGTCTCGGCACAGCGATTGCGGGAAGCAGTTCGGATAGTTTCCCTGATAACTAAAATTATGCGCGAAGTATCCAGGAATGAGCGCATGTTAAAAAGGAAACGTTTTAAGGTCATATTTATAAACGTTTGCTTGAAAATAATGACTAGAAAAGTCGAATTTTGTTTTGCTCTTCACTACAGTTATTCTACAACAAATCGAAAATAAAAGTGTACTAAGTTTTTCGCTATGATAAATTTTGAAAAGATGTATGGCCTAAAATAGCACTTACCTCAAAAAATTGTTTGCTCATTTTGAAAGAATATTTTTTTGGAGCAATTTTAGCATATTCACGTTAAAAAATAGCATTTTCTTTACATTTTTTGTAATGTGAATTAACTGGGGATCTTGGAAAATATACCTGTAAAAAACCCACATATGATCGTTTACACGTGACCTCACAGAATTGGCATATAAACTAACATATGTAGGTATGTATGCGTTCCTGTGTAAGATGTTTCATTTTTGGTGCGAATCACCCTGTATATAATATTTACAGGACCTCAGCAAAAAAAAATCAAAGCCTATGGTAGGATCTATACTATAACTATCTAAAACTGTAATGACTCATCGTGAACATCACTTAACTACCAGAAGTCGGCTGTTCATAGGCGGGGTATGAATGTTTAACATGGGTGAACTAGATTTGTCACATGCTTAATAAAGAGTGGTTTGAAACATATTGTAAGTCAAAAATTTGGGAATTACCTTTATTCATCGTCGCTTCCACTCACATCTGACAGTAATAAACTGTCGCTATCGCTTTCCTCGTTGAAATTGACTATAACTGGCTCTATGATGGTGTCGATGTGGTGGTCAAGCTGCCACATTTTTGTTTCTTCCTTCACAACATGACGGATAGCAGTCTGCCAAGCTTCGGGCGTTACTAGCTGTATGGAAGTCTCAAGTAAAACTTTAACGTCTGGTAATTTGAAGGTTGTGTTATGGCGCGCAACATAACCCTTCACTTTAGCCCAGATGAGCTCTATTGGGTTCAGTTCACAGTGGTAGGGCGGTAACCGCAGCACAGTGACACCACATTGACGGGCCATCTCATCAGTCACGTAACTAATGTTCGCAGGTTTGTGCTGTTTAATTTTTTCATACAATTCCGCTTTCACACATGAATCGTCAAACGGGATTCCTTTTTCGCGCAACCATTGCTGCATGTCACTTTTTCGAGATCCCATAGTCGGTACACGTTCGGCTCGACGACTATGGTAGGAAGCATTATCCATGACGATCACAGAGTTGGGCTCAACTCGCTGAAGCACCTCTTGAAACCAGCTCTCGAAGCAGCTGGCATTCATTTCGTCATGGTAATCACCTCCTTTCTTAGAGACGAAAATCAAGTCACACTCTTCTAAAAAGCCACTATCGCTACCAATATGAGTTACGATCAATCTTTGACCTTTCCCTGACGGTCCACGAAGACCTGTTGACAAACCTTCAATGCTTGCTTGTCGGTTACTCACTACGTTGTTGTCTATCCAGGTTTTTTTAACTGTGTGACCTGCATTTACCCATGTCTCGTCCAAATAATAGATTTTTCTGCTTTGTCGCCTATATTCAATCATTTCGCGTAGGTATTTTCGACGCCAGGCGACTATTTCAGGTCTCTCTATCAATACTGACTTCCGATTACGCGTTTCGTAACGAAAATTAATTTCGTGCAGGGATTTCCTGATTACCTCGACGCTCATTTGGGGTATAATTTCATTTTCCTTGATCGCTGCATGTACAGCCTTGAGGGTTGGTATCTCATTCCTAAAGAAGAATGAATGTACGGTTCGCCTTAACGCCATTTTGCTATCGTCATCCAATTTAACAGCCTTTCGTCCCTTCAAATTAAACTTTGGATCAGTTGTAGCTCCAGTTTTCTTCTTTTCATGCACCACCCTGCGAATGGTCCACTCTGGAACGCCTGTCATACTTTCACAACGCGCGAGTGCATCTCCCTGTCACATAGTTCTGTTCAGATAATTGAACACGTTGAGCACGATTTCTTTCGCGTCCCTCTTCAGTGCTTTACGAAGCCGTCTACTTGTTCCCTGGCTTTCAGTACTTCCACTCGTGCCATTTGTACTCTCCATGGTAAGTATAACCAAAACAGTAACCACAGAAACCACAACAATAACAATCACACAACAATTCTTATAAAAACACACATTATGCGATCGCTCAACGAAACACGTTCCAATGCGTTGCCGACGCCTATGAGTCTGCCGGTCGAGGCGCGTCTTTGATTTCATTGGTTCTACCGGCGGAGAACAATCAGCCATTATTTCCATCTCTGTCTGTGCTGTTGACCACCGCAAAGCCACAGAAACGACATATGTCGTACGCTATACGGCTATACTGGAAGGAAGCCGGGATCGAGCTCTGATCACGTGTTGATCACGCGTATGGGTCATTACAGTTTTAAATAGTTGTAGTATAGAACTTTTCGTCATACGAGGGTGGTCACAGAAGTACCGACCCAACGAAGAAAACACAAAATTTTTGTAAAAAAATGTATCTATTTTTCAACATAATCCCCCTTTGAGCTCTATACACTTTTCCCAGCGATGTTCAATAAGTTCGATACCCTTTTTATAATAACTGTTTTGCTCCTTAAAATAGCCATTAACTGCCGACATCACTTCTTCGTCTTTGGAAAATCTTTGACCCCTGAGCCATTTTTTCAAGAAAATAATCCGAGTGGGCTAAATCTGGTGAATAGGGTGCATGAGGTAGCAATTCAAACTTTAATTCGTTAATTTTGGCATAACGGATTTGTGAGCTGGTGCATTGTCTTGATGAAACAACACTTTCTTCTTAACCAAATGCGGCCGGTTTTGCTTGATTTCATCGCTCAAACTTTGCAATAAGTTCGCATAATACTCGCCGTTGATAGTTTTACCATTTTCAAGATAGTCAATGAAAAGTATCCCACGCGCATCCCAAAAAACTGACCTTGCCTGTAGATAAAACGGTCTTCACCTTCTTTCAAGCCGGTTGTCCCTTTTGGGTCCATTGTTTTCATTGTTCTTTTTTCTCGGGTGTGAAGTGATGGACCCATGTTTCATCCATGGTTATGAAACGACGCAAACATTCTGTTTTGTTGCTATGTAACTTCGCTGAACACTCAATTGAAACATCTTCACGACACTGTTTTTGCTCGATTGTGAGCAATGGCGGCACCCATCTTAGACACAGTTTTCTCATGTCCAAATTTTCAGATAATATGCGATGAACCGCACTTTTTGAAATGCCTACTATGTCTGCTAGCTCGCGCACTTTCAGTCGACGATCATTCAGTACCGCTTCGTGAATTTTCTTCACCATTTCTGGAGTCGTCACTTCATTCGGTCGACCACTGCCATGCTCGTCTTGGCAGCTCATACCTCGTTTAAATTCTGCTACGCAATATTTTACTGCTGTAAACGAAGGAGCAGACTCACCCAGGGTAGAAGCCAGTTTAGCTTTTATATTGGTTGGGCTGACGCCTTTGAAATAAAAGTATTGTACCACATAACGAAGATCAATTTTCTCCATTTTCACAAATTCACTGAAAACGTTCAGTATTGATGGCTGCCAAACAAATACTAAACAACGTGGCGTCTTCAAACTTGACACATATGCTTTATAGGTTGCATACTTTCTAATACAATTCAAACAACTATCGCCATCTCTAGGTCAGGCCGGGTACTTTTGGGACCACCCTCGTACTAAAGAAGAATACTTCAATAACCGTATCCAAATTTTCAATCAATATAGATTTTTTTCTAATGTCCCTGGTATATCTTTGTATCTTAATATATTTTAACCTTTCTACCACATAATAACAGAGAAGCGAAATTATTTCTGTAATTACACCGAAAGAAATACGTGACCATTCTCATATGTATGAGAAAGTAAATCTATCGAAACATCCAGAACCTATAAAGTATCAAGCTGCAATTCAGTGTACATTGATTAAGTCATATGCTGCTCAACATAAACAAAGAATACCGATATTAATAGCAGGATCACTCCGCGGACAGTCAGTTTCTTCCAACGAGCGACCCTCCGCTACCCATCATGACGAAAAACTGAGAGTATATCGGGATTTTCTGCCCATAAAAGCTTGTCAAAAACAAATCAATAAATAAAAATGTCTGACCCGCCAGCACGGGGCTTGAAGTTTGTTGGGGTCTATTGTAACATAATCATCGGTGGCGATTGTAACATGTTACAACCGACACCGGTGAAAAATCTTGTGTGCGCCTTGTGCTTAGACTGTTTCGGTTCATACAAAAGTAGCTGTGAATACTGCTTACAATGTAGACAGTGGGCAAATCCCAA